AACTCGTCCGCAGTTGTACGGCATCAGCACCAGCTTCACCTTCGTGAGGTCGGGATCAGCAGGAGGACTTGGCGTCGTTTTCGCCGCCGCCGGCTTCTTCATGGGCTTCTCCTTTTTCTTGTTGCCCTCTTTCTGCTGCTTCTTCTCCGCCTTCTCCGCCTTGTCCTTGTTCTTCGTCTCCATCATCTGCTCATTGATTGTCCTCTTGCGACATGGTACAGGCAGACCTGCTTCAGCAACCTTTCGAAGCTCGGCCACACTTTCCGCTTCTGACGAATTCGACTGGGTAGCAGGAATCTCCATGTCCATCAGGTCCACGGTCGCCACACTGTGCTTCTCGTCGTCGGAGTCCGTGGTCTTGTACTTCTTCTTTTTGTCGTCCTTGTCCTCGTCCTTGGTTTTCTTCTGCTTGGTCTTGGCCTGGATCTTCTCGTCCTCGGAGTCCTTGGTTTTGCACTTCTTCTTTTTGTTGGCCTGGTCCTCGTCCTTGGTTGTGTTCTCCTTGGTCTTGTCCTTCTTCTTCTTCTCGTCCTCGTCCTTTTTCTCGTCCTTGTTCTTCTTGCCCACCTTGCCCTCGTCCTTCTTGTTCTTCTTGTCCTTGGTCCGAAGCTTCTTCTTCTTCTTCTTCGTCGTCTCCTCACTCTCGCTGCTGGACTCCGAGCTCTCATTCTCCTGCAGCAGGTCTCGCAGTGCAACCAGCTTCTCTGTTTGCCAGGCACTCAAGTTGCTGCAGCACTCTCTGAACTTCTGAGCAATTCGGAGTCTTCGTGTGTGTGCTGCCACCGTCATGAGGGCATTCGCATACTTCTGGTGCAAAACTCCTTGCTCGGCGAGAGGCACACTTTCTCGTAGACTGGCAAACTGCTTCACCAAGGCTGCAAACACTGTCTTCAGGTCCTGATACTTAAAGCACAGGGCCGGCTGCACTGCCATCACCTTGATCACCAAGGAGCTCACGGAACACAAGGAGGCCCCAGCGATCGCCTGACTCTTGTTCATGTTCATGTACTCGTAGAAGTTCAAGCCTCCCTCCAGCTTGATCGCCTCCGACAGCACATCCTGGGCATCATATGCACACCAGCTGTTGCAAAATCGTCTTCCATGTCTGTCCAGACATTGACAAGTCCATGCTCCACTGCAACAAGAACATTTTCTTCTCACCTTTCCTCCATGCTCTTTTGGCAGACACTCAGATTCCAAAACTGCACCTCTAGCTACAGCTCGGCGACTCCCTGTATCTACATCAGTTCATGTTCTCGATCTGTTCAAGCTCATCATCCAAAGCCCGAATCCGGTCGTCGATGTCGTCGAGGTGTCCCAAGATCAAAGTCACAGCATCGTCTGGATTCTCTGGCTCATGGGACTCGACGATCAGGGAGTTCGCCAGGTTCGTGGCCCTCACAGCCATGTGCGAGAGAGTTTCGATCATCGCCAACACATGTGCTGGAAACTGATCCATTTTCTTCCTCTTCTTCTCGGCGTGCTCGGGCGTGCTGTCTGCAGCTTCTCGAGTCCTCTTCGGAGGTGTCTCCATGGCTCAAGGCTCTAGGTGCTATCTCCTTTGAGAAAATCGCTTCGGTACATACAACATGATGAAATCTACTTGCTGCCTGTCCAGGCATTGATATACTATTAAAACAACATGACCAAATTGTCTATCCAGACATTTAAATGCTATATTCAAACAACATGACAATAATGTCTGTCCAGACAGTATCAGTATAATATATTATACACCAGAAATATGCAATACATATATATATATATATATATATATATATAAGTTATAATGTATACATATATATATATATATAGTAGAAAAAAGTATGAACGGTATTGAGCAAATACTACACTGTAAAATCAATCGAGGAATCGAGCGAGGAATCGAGCGGAGGGTTTATAAAATCAATCGAGGAATCGAGCGAGGTTCAGTATAGAATCAATCGAGGAACCGAGCGAAGAGCCGACTTGCTCGATTGATATTTGATAGTTGAAACTCGGTTTTCGAGCGCCGATCGAAAACACTTTATTTTCGAGCGCCCGATTGAAAAAATCAATCTGAGAGCCTATGGGTTTTTGCATCCGTTTCAACAAAGGCTACTGCCGCAACGCACAGTGTAAGTACCTGCACGCCTGCGCCGTTAAGATGCCCAACGACGGCGAGCTTTGCGGAAAGAATCATCCGGCTTGCCAGCACCGCAATCCTCAAGAAGCGTACCTCGTGACAGCCGCAGCTGGACCCAGCCGAGCCGGTTCAGTTGCCTCCAGCCAGCTGCTCGGCAACTCCCGCCGGTCCCAGCTCTTGCGCAGCAGTTACCACAGCAGCGCGCCCGCCGGCACCTAGCCAAAGGGCATGATCATGAAGCACCGACCGAAAACCCTGAAGTGGCCACGTCAAGCTCGGACTCGTGAGATTCCGACAACGCTACAGAAGCACCGCCAGGCAATTGCAGGTTCCTCCTGCGTCGCATCGCCGATGACCCTTTCACACGTGATCGACTGTTCTTTAATGCACCGCTAGTGCACGAGGGCGTGTTTCAAGACCTGCCCTACGCACAGGCCCACAGCACAGTATGGTCAGGCGCCCTTGGCTTCGCAGTGTTTCTGTTCCCAGGACCAGCTCAACTCAGCAGCGACTCACACACTAAGCTTTGTGCTCTCATCCGCGCAGCGCACCTGCAAGGAAGCCTTGTGTTTTTCAATACCCTCAGAACATATCTAGCCACATCGAAGGGTTTTACCCCGGGCATCCGAGTATACATCTATTGTAGACTTGGCAAAGACCAGGAAATTCCTTGACTTGATACATTTTGTTGATACATCCTTGACTTGGATACTTTCTGGATGTCTCCTAATTATCGGTCTGGTGGGTAGGAATTAGGAGATCAGTTTCGCGATCGTTGGAACAGACTTGATCTATCTTCTCCGTGGCCATTTTGGCGATAGCCGATCGGGCCATACCGAAAAATTCGGCGTCGGAGGTGGAAGTGAATAGGCTCGCTCGATTGCAGCCATGTCGTTCCCTCCCGCTGGCTTCCATCAAGGTCGGCAGATGGCGGCTCCGATGGCCCCACAGTTCGGGTTGCCTCGCCGGCTTGGTCAGCCTGAGAATCCGGGTAACTGGGGACACTACGTTCCAGGCGAGGCAGAGGCTCCCGAGAATCCCGCGGCTCCAGCTGCCGCATCCGGCGATTGGGGCTCTGGAGGCTGGGGTCGCGACGATCGTCGTGGACGTCGTGACCGTGGGGCTCCTGCTGCTCACAACCCCTTCGCTGTTCAGCGGCCTGAGTTCGTTCGCCAGCTCGTGGTCGAGGAAGAGGACGAGACCCAGAACTCGCTCCTCGTCATCGACAACCGCGATGACCGGGTGATCTCCCCGTTCCAGAACTGGCTGGCCGAGGAGATCATCTCGAATGCCGCCAGCTCGATCAATGTGCTGACGGAGCGGGACTCGGTCATGCCCCCGAACTCGGGCTACCACTGTTCGCTGTTCGCGAACTATACGCTCGATGGCATCAAGGCCGTTCTGCTCTTTTCGATGTCTTCGAGAACAGGGGGACCATGTGCTCAGTGGGACTCCTACGCGAGTCGGGCGCTATCGCACCCGGCTTTCCAGCCCTTCACTTGGCCGGTGATGTTCGATACCTCGGCCACCTATGTGGATGTGAAGGTCTTCAATGGAAACGAGGTCCTGTTCCATTGGGTCTTCAGGGGCTACCGCTCGGACTCGGATCTTTCTGTCCAGCAGCAGTTCTGTGACGAGGTGTTGATCCGGTCAGCCAACGAAGGATGGTTCCGACCCTCGATCGTCATCTCGGTCTTCGTTGGATGGAAGGTCTCCGTGACCTCGTTCGAGGTTGGAGCCCGAGTCTACACGATCGGCCCGAGAGGAGCAGTGATGGCGAGCGACCATGCCATGAGCACTTGTGAGCTCAGGGTGACAGAACGCTCGTCCCGAGAAGGCTATGGGAACGACGCCGATCGTGTTGAGTTTCGGTTCCGGGCGCTCGACACGGTGCCCGATGATGTCCGCATCAGCGGACCGGCTCACTATGTCATTCCGGGGCAGCCCCCGCGGCGGATCAGCTCCCGCCCGGTACGCAGCTCCCTCCCGGCACCGAGATCATGGTGTCTACGAGGAGCTCGAGTCCGCCGACCAAGGCGCCCCCGACTCCCGCCCAGATCGCGGCGTACCAGGCTTCTCGCGCTACTCCCGCTCGGACGAGAGCCAAAGCTGCTCCTGATGCAGCTTTTCGTGCCGCCGAGCGGCAGTTGATTGACTTGCTCGGCGCGGCCCCCCTCGACGATGATCCAATCGAGGAGCCGTCGCCGGAGCCCGATGATCCGATCGAAGACTTTTAATTTTGTTCGCGGGGAATATCGCTTGTCTGATGTGTCCGATCGGATGATGTTGCGGTCTGTGGCGAATGCCATGGCGCACCCCTCGGCGATCGGGGGTCCGATCGGACTTGTGAAGATCAAGTGAAATTTTGATGATCCGACTGTGGCCGACTCCCACGTTGCGGTCGCATGAAAAAGGTGCGATCGCCGATAGTCTGTTCAGTGAGGGCACCGAACGTCTGCGATCGTAGTAACTGACATATATATATATATATATATATATATATATATATATATATAGATATAGATCTATATCATAGTACTATATTACTATTAGTATTACTATTAGTATTACTATTACTATTGGTATTACTATTACTATTACTATTAGAGTCCGGGGGGGCTGTGGGAGTGCACCTTTTTCCGCAAAATTTAAGTATCGCATTGTCGAGCCACCTAAGGAACAACCTGCGAGAATAGGATACAGGCACACACACACATACTTAAACAAGCATTCGTTCAACTTTGTTTACACACATGTGTACTAACGTATGAGTACACAACCGACATTCTTTCTTTCTCGTTCGCAAGCTGTTATATCGTTGCCACGAAAGCTCAAACAGTCTTTCTTGGTTTTCTCGCTTCGTATCCCTGAAGCCATGTCGGAGTTTCGTGGTGATCATATACCAGGTTTGCTTCGTGAACTTGGAGGGCGGGATGGCGCACTTACATTCGATGAGGCTATCATGCGCACCACCGGTCAGGGGCTGAAGCTCAAAGGCCCTGAAACCAGGCCCGTGTCGTCCATCCGTGATGCAGGTGACGTGAGTGTTGGTGATCTACCAGTTCGTTTCCTTGACTCGATCTCGGGCAAGGTAGAACAGTTTTGTGATGCTATCCAACATGCCAAAGTTGATGTCACACCGGATTTCTTCCAGTCCAAGCTCGTGAAAGAGTGCATGACGTGCAATTACAAAGGCTTGCCGGAACCTTTCCGTCTTCGTCACGAACCGCAGGTGTCGTACACTATGCAGCTAATCATCCTTCCTGCTACGCCTCCGGAAGGTGAGGATCCTAACTCCAAGTATGTGCACATTTTGAAGCACGTCTATTTGCACCGGAACAAGATCAACGCTCTGAAGCCATTAAGATGTGCGATGGCATCTCCATGCGGTTTGAGTGGGGGACGCACACACGCCAAGCCTTGATCGGCCTCACGTACATGTTGGACAATATGGGCGGGATGCAGATTAGGAATTGGGTGATACAACCCAAATTCGAAAAGAAGCTCACGGTAGACCAGACTGCAAGGGATGCAGGCTATCGTTTCATCAAGGAGCATGGGCCCAAAACCAATAATGCCAACCAGTTCATGGAATGGACAGACAATCAGATCCACACCGTCGGCAGTCCCATTGAGAATTGGTCAGAGGCTAAGGTCATCACGGCACTGCAAAACCACATGAGGGGACGTCAGTACGCAAAAACTCTTGAATACTGGCCCTTCACTTTCAAGAGCCTCGTACCTTGGTTTTTTGATGAGATCCTCGTCCCCATGCTAGGGTCCATCAGGCAGCACTCGATTACCTGGATTGGCAAAACCAGAACAGGTAAATCGCTGGCTTCAAAGGTCGTAGCGTTCTGTCAATCCAAGTATGAGATAGATGCATCGCAGCGCGAAGATTTGATTCCTTTGGGAACGTCTTCATTGCATTTGGGGCGCGTGGGCGTTTCAGCAGCTAAAGGGTCGAAAAAGCTGTACAAGTTCCAGAAGTTCTAACAGTTAAAAAAGTTCTAAAAGTTCAAAAAGTTCTAGAAGTTCTGCAGGTTCTAACAGTTCTAGAAGTTCTAAAAGTTCTAAAAATCCCAAAAGGGTTCAAACTTTGGAACTTTTCGAATTTTTACACTTTTGGAACTTTTAGAACTTTTAGAACATTTAGAACTTCTAGAACTGTTAGAACTTGTGGAAGCTCTAAAGGTTCCAAAGGATCTACAGGTTCTAAAAGTTCTAAAAGTTCTAAAAGTTTAAAAAGTTCTAGAAGTTCTAGAAGTTCTAAAAGTTCTAAAAGCTGGTTCCTGTGTTTACTCAGGGTTGTTTCGGACATACTCATCCCGCTGCCCCGCTTGGGTTCAAGCACACACCACGCAGCAGCAGCTTGCTTTTAAAAACTTTCGCTGTCTCTAGCTTGCTTTCGTGCTTCTTTTTCGCTTCTGATCACATGTCTTAGCTGTCAGGACAACTTCTCAGCAGCTTTAGCTAAGCCTGAGTGCAACTGATCCACTTGCATGGATTCCGCGCCCGAGCCCTACAGTCCTCAGCTTCGTGCAGTCCTGGACGATCTTAACAGGGAGGTTCGGCAATTCGACATCCGCTTGACTTGCCGACCCACAGTTAGGGTGGAAACAGTTTTTGGGTGGAAGCCTGGTGTGTGCATGTGTTGTTGGAGCAAAACGACTTCAATGATGATCGGGACGGGGGGAAACAACCATGGCTATAGCCAAATAAAATGACTTGCCCCTTGTTGTTTCTGAGGTGTATTGCAACTTTGTTTGAGATGGCAAACACTCATTTTTGATTGTTTCAGTTCAAGAATGTCATCCGGCAGCCAGCATCCAATACAAATATTTGCAGGGTGGCAAAATCCACGTGTCGATGACTCATTTGAAATTTGTTGAAGCATGACATCAAAAAATCAACACCATACCACACGACGTGTGCAGGGTTCGAGTTGAGGTTGAGTATATTCTTTCATTTCTCTATCGGCAACAAGTATTCATTACCAGTTTCGTGTAAAGCGAAAAGATAATGGGATCTCCGTTAGTATGGCAATCCATAAAATAATCTAAGTTTTGTTATATATCTAGATCGGTTAGGACTACATCATCTATCTTATTAACAATTCTACCAGTCTTAACAGGTGCGATGCTTCACTAATTAAGGTTATTAACAGATATGCACTTAATACAATAGCATTTGGTTCATATTTGGAGGTGATGCTATGTTCTATCAATGTATGATTTAGTTCTTTGGGAATCCAGAAGTCTACGCTTCCAGCGTTCGATAATCAATAGTTTAACAATAACTGGCTTATTGCATGTTTAGTGTCTTTGGTTAACTTGTCTATAATCGGATAACATGAGCTATGAGGCTATGAGTTGTCTTTGTCTATTAGGATAAACTAATTTGGGCACATCATATGTTTACGACTAGTATGCAACAGTGATACAAGAGCTAACTTTACAGGTTAATACATTGGTTATATTATCATTACCAACTTGTTCGTTACGATCATGTAGTTGGTATTCTACATCCCTGGACAAGTAATGCATGTCTACTGATACTATTTCACAACTAATGTTAACTGTTATAGTATATCTTTCATACAGTCTGTTTACAATAGGTGGTTCAACTGGTATTATACTTGGTAATTAGTGCTGCTATTGATATAGATTTTCATGACTCTTATTATGTTGTTGCACTTTTTCATTGTGCCTTACCAGTAAGTACAATCAATGCTACCCCAGTAGGACTATTATATATGTTGTCTTGTGCAGTATTAAAACGACTTACGAACACTAGATGAACAGCTATAGGTAGTGGCAATGGCATGAATGGTCTAGGTTAGCTGTGTGTAGAGGTTAATACAAAGCAAGTTGTCTAAGTTTTTCATTTGTGTTCTAGTGATGTTATGTGAAGGCTTACATTATTACATCTCAGTGGTTTCTATGTTTAAGGCTAGTAGAGTACAAGACTAAGGAGATTACTTAATTATATAGTGGTTGGAATGATACTAGTTCAGTTGGTGAGAGGTTGCACGATAGTTTCATTTTGTATCACGAATGGTCTAGGTTAGCTGTGTAGAGGTTAATACAAAGCAAGTTGTCTAAGTTTTTCATTTGTGTTCTAGTGATGTTATGTGAAGGCTTACATTATTACATCTCAGTGGCTTCTAATGTTTAAGGCTAGTAGAGTACAAGACTAAGGAGATTACTTAATATAGTGGTTGGAATGATACTAGTTCAGTTGGTGAGAGGTTGCACGTTAGTTTCATTTTGTATCACTACAGTCCATTCCAATCAAGATAGTTTAATAAGTATTGGGGAGGCCACCGGAAGCTTGTCATGAATCGCGACTGCTGTGCAGATATGAGTCACCGGAAAATAGAACTAGGCTATACTAGGCTTGAGTACGGAACAACGCGCAGCGGTTCATGGAACTGTTTGTCATGTAGCCAATGTGTCTCACAGCGTCGAAACCAAAAAAACAAAACCAAAAAAAACAAAAACACCAAAACAAAAAAAAACAAAAAAAACATTATTTCAGAATTCTCCCATTCGTGTGTATTTTTAATGTTGTTCTGGAAGAGCACTGAAATAATTGTTTTTTTGATTTTTTTGGTTTTTTTGGTATTGTTTTTTTTGGTTTTGGTTTTTTTGGATTGGATTTTATAGATTTTTTTTTAAAGGAAAGGGGCTGGTGTTTCTTAGGGTTTGAATTACGACAACGCCCCTAAGCGCCAGAGTTGATAGTGATGTCGTGGAGGAGGCGGACCTGAACTGCGCAAAACGCAGGGGTCGACTTCGACCCCGTAACCGAAGAATCTCAGCCAGCAGCCAGCATCCAATACAATGTTTGAAGGGTGGTAAATCCACCTTTTAAGGACTCTTTTGTTGAAACATGACATCAAAAATTCAACACCATAATCACAAGGCGTATTTAAAAGTGCAGGGTTCGAGTTAAGGTTTAGTATCTTCTTTTTCTTTCTTGCAAAACATAGCAGCAAGTATTCATTACAAAGCTTGTATAAAGCGAAATGAATGAGATTTCCGTTAGTATGGCAATCCAGAATACAAATTAGGTTTTGCTATATGTTGGTTCGAGCTCAAAGTATTGACTTCTACGTGCCAGGTATAACGTTCCCTAAACCTATAAAGACTCTAACCTCTGAACACTTGAACCCTAAACCCTTACGAACCCTAAACCCTACACCCTTAAACCGCAAACCACAAACCCGAAACCCCTAAACCTTAAACACCTGAACCACTAAACTAAACCCTAAACCCACGGCTGGTCTTCAACAGCGACAGCTCCCACAAGGCCAATGGCACTGGGGTTTGGGGGTGGGGGGAGGGCTTAAGGTTTAGAGTTTAGGGTTTAGTTATTATTAGGGTTTAGGAGGAGCACTGGGAGAGTGCTGCTCATCACAGAGTTTCATATTTAGTTAATAATAATAATTTAGGAGGAGCACTGGGAGAGTGCTCCTCACAGAGCTCGGCTTCAGTGCACTGGGAGAGTGCCTGGGACGGCACTGAGAGAGTGCCTTTGATTGTCCTGCGCCAGGCGGGGGGCACTGCGAGAGTGCTTGTCTGATACGTTGACTGATGACACGAAAGTGCTACTAGTAGGGATGTGAGGATGCTTCATAAACTTGACAAGTAGCTGAGCTTAAGCTGAGGCTTGGAATTGAAGCAAAGCAGCAATGACAGCCAGACGCTCAGCATCAAGTATTAACAATCAGCATGCTCCCAATGTTTTTGTAGTCAGCACTCTCCCAGTGCTGTATTTGTTACAGTAGTCACTCTCCCAGTGCTTTCGAGCTTGCTTTTAATCGTGAACACTGCTCACTGTGTGCTCTGTTGAGATGATCTATTACTACTATGCTGGGGTCCCTGCTTGCCACCTTGATGCCACCACACCAGTCGTGTCTTACCTGCGTCCAGGAATGTCTGAGAAAGTCTTTGGTGGGGAGAAGCGTTGGCAGCACAGCTCAAACTCAATCCTGATGTCAGTCGAAAATCGAGCTCGCTCAAGTTTGCTTCCACAGAGCGGCACACCATGCCCTCCAGGCCAAGCATCCTCAGTCCTGCAGGAACAAATTCTTAATATGAGTTTTCCTCTATCACTCATCACGAAATCATGCGTCCTCGTCGCCGCTCGTCTCGGCAACTTCAGTCGCCTCGGTGTGGGCGTCAGATCACGGAGCTCCGGCTTGTTTTTCTTCTTTGGCCATTGAGCCTCAAACTCCTCCGCCAGTTGCACGTACCGATCCTGGACGGGCACATGCATGTCAGATGCTTGGAGTCTGCCACTCCATATCTTTGCTCCTCCTCCTCCTGGCTCCTCGCCTCCCTCTCCCCCTGACCCTCCCCTCTGTCGAAAGCAAGCTTGTGTGTGATGCGCACTCTCCCAGTGCACCGTGTCAACTGTCTGTCTTCTCTGGCAACTGAGTAGCTCAAGTGAACTTCTGCTCGGGTCCTTGTCCGACCTCCACCAGCTAGTCGACGGTCTGCTGTCTCATCTGAGCCACCTGCGACCGGACGAGGGCTTCAGTCAAGGGGATATCAAGATGAAGGTTGCAGCACGCTTGCGCAAGCACTCAAAGTCGAAGTCAAAGCTCTGCACTCTCCCAGTGCCACTCTGACGTCTTTTTGGCCACTTTCGCAGGGAGGTCACGGGAGGTCCTTCGTCCTCATCGTTGCCAGGGCCCTCCTGCAGCGACTGAATCTGAGGGTCCCTATCGTAGCTCGCATGCTCTGTATGATATGGACACATCACTTATGGAAGAGTGCAGGTTCGTGCAAGCGGACCTCAGTCAGACTCAGCCACCTCTGTCGGCGTCGGCGTGGGACTTCGTAGCTGCGGTTTCCGTCCCCGTGCCTGTGAGCAAATCCGGGCGTCTCTGCGCATCGAAAATTCAACTGTGTCTTGAGGCCTTGTCTGGCCAGTGCTCCTGGACGGACACATTAATGTCTTGATGCTCCACAAATACTCTCGCATGA